TAGCATTCCTTTTCGTAGAGGGTTTTCGCTATTATTTTCTATGAATTTGTGGATATCTATTTCGTCTATTCTAATTCTTTAAAAGTTTTTAATCAATTGCGACTTATGTCAATATAAAGTATGATCCAGAATTTTTCTTAGAAATGTGACATCTGAGAACACTAAAGACGTGTATAAGTAAAGATATACATTGCCATCAACGAGCAATACTACAAAATAAATGAATTATAAAGCTCCTCGGTATATTAGAAAGAAAGCTTTTATGTTCAACGTTTGAAATTTTACAAGTCGCTCGAGGTCAAATATCGCTATATTATTAAAGCGATTAACAGATTCAGCTATCAGAAGCCATATTACCCTCACAGTTCGTATAACATTTCTTAAGCCGTCGTGATTTCAAGTCATTTGAGGTATATTTACTCAATACAACATTTCAATGTAAAATCAGATCTTACCTTTTATATATTACTCTACTGTTGTCACAATGCTTCAGTTCTAGGCTCAACCAAGGCTCAACCAGCAATCTGACGAATGGTAGCCTGGTAACTAGAGAATATTAATATCAAGTACAGCAGACGCAAGTCCACGTGAACTCGGGCTACCTATCGACTTTTGAAAATTCCCGGGGRGGAACGATACCCTGGTTGGCGGCACTTATACGTATAGCGAATATAGGGGAGTACACCCCCAAGAGAATATGTGGCTACAGCACAACTTTCATTGAACGTTGTACTGTCACCTGTATTGTTCTGTTGAATCATGTTATTTTGAAATGCATATAAATTAAAATTAAAATTTGTACTTAACTTTGTGATTGTACTGATTACAGCTCAAACGCATGTCATGCATGCTCTAAAAATAGGAAACTATAAAGGTATTCAATGAGCTTCAAAGTTGATGCTTATAACTGAAATATCTCTTGCATGGGAATCAAATATTTTGAGCCTGGTGTAAGCACAGCAGTAGACAGCACTGTAATGAATCCGTTCTTGTACACGGCAGGCAAACCCTTTTCTTGTTATGAAAACGCGATTGCAAGGTATAGAGAACCAAAATTGGCATGGAGAACTTTTCAATGATGAAAGAGGGATCCATGGTCAAAGAAATAAATTAAGAACGTTTTAATGTCAATTATTCGATAGAGGGCTATCTGACATTATTATTRCCATACTAGTGGACTGTTGCAAATCCTTCGTTCTGATTGGCTACGCTACTCGTGGTCTATTTTCAATAGTCCTCGACTAGCGAAAAGCGGCAACATTTTACGTATTTTAAGCAACAAAACCATTTAGTTATTTTAATATTTCATTCATTTTTTGTCTAACTAGTACGGTAATACTAAAACAATTAGATCTTTCGGCCTTGTGGACTGCGAGCTGATAGCCCATGAGGCCTTCGGCGTCATGGGCTATCAGTTCGTAGTCTACTCGCCCTCGAGATCTAATTGTTTTAACAATTAAAATAGTCAAAAAATTCCATCACAGGCGAGCCCTCACTAAGATGTGGCTATAAAAAGCTAGAGGAAACTAAGGAAGTGTTTTCAATGTACCGATGTTGTAGAAGATGAAAAACACCTTATTCAATGCCCCTATACCGACTCTAAAATTAGAGATAAATTTATCATTCATGATCTTATTGTGCGAGGAACTTTATCTCAAATTAATAGATCCTCCAAATAAACTACAAACGCAAGCATCAAAGTATATTTTAGTTTTGCTTTGAAGTAAGAAAAAAATATGATAATGGCAACCCGTAAAAAAGATTATTTCACATCAATTTATGACACTTTTCACATAAGAATTATTGTATGGGATATAGAATTTTATACAACTTTTCAGTAAAATCAGACGTTTTGATTGGTTGGCTTTCGTGTGTTATCAAAGTATAGATACAGGGATTACGTCAAAACTAATTGTTTGTTGTATAAAACAGATAGATCTCATTTTTCCGACTGCGTCTCGTGCGTACTTTTTTGTTCTGACTACATTTTGACGTCATCTGTGTATCTATTAGAGTACACACGCACGGAAAAATGAGATCTATTTGTTAAATACTAAATATTATCTTCACTTATATTTAATCCAATAAGYATAATAATATAGGTTAATTATATTTACATTCTTTTTACTACTCTGACACAAGTATGTCGTATTTATCTATTAACTTTCTTATCTTGTTTGGAATTAAGTTTATGAACCTTTATGTGCAAAGCTCCAAATAAAATATGTATGTATGTAAAAAATCTAATCTAGTTAACCTTCATGTTGCTATCACACATCCTCCACATCGCCTCTAAAATCTATTTTTATTGTATTTTTTTCTTTTTTTTTATGTATGGAAATAAAAAATTGTATTATATTGCATATATAGACCTATATATGCCATCAAATTGAAACTAATAATGAATACAAATAACTATGCACGTGCTCTAATTGATGTGTTTCACGCACTCTGCTGTTTTATCGAATTTATTGTTAATTTGAATTGAAACGGTTCTCTTCCCAATCGATCTCTCTTCACCTATTTTTTTGATAGCCCTTTTAACAAGAAACTTTGCAATCCGACAAAAACTTTGAATGCCACCCGCTTTGCACTAAAAAAGGTTGGAGATAACGCGATGAAAGTAAACATTACATTTCTTACATAGCATTTCGACTTGCGTATTAGATTTAGATGATTCATTCGAAAGTTGATAGCTGAACGATGCTTTCATTTCTCGCTAAATTAAACAAAATGTAACACGTAAAAGAACCTGCATTTTCTTACATCCATGATTTTTTTCGCATATCAACAAAAACATTTTGGCAGGTTCCATAACTGTTTTTCAATGATGTCAATCGTGTATAATAAAGTTACGGCTTAATTTCATTGGATAATCATATTTCGTTCTTACGCGACTTCGACAGTTTCAGTTGCAGGCCATCGGTGTGACTTAATTAATCAATGCTTCAGTTACCACAATAAGCTGAGGGATTGGGCCAATCACCATCTTTGTGTCATTTGTAAACCAATAAAAGAGAGTTTCTTTTGGCATAAGTCATACTAAGTTGTGACAGTCAGCACATTAAACATTATGCAGTCAGCATGATCTTAATATAAAGCAAGCACAAGAGTTAAACTTAAAACAAAACATACGCACATAACATGATTTTGATGGTGAGGTACCAGATTATCTTTGCGTTGACCCAGTTCTGTCTTAACATAGAAGGAAGATTGTCTCAGGGTAAGTTAAATCCTGGCGCAGACGCAGACCAGAAGTTTCATACAATGATGCGTTTTTATGATTATTATGATTTCAGCTAGTAGCTTGAAAAAGTAGTTTGCCATATCATGCCTGAGGGGTTGAGGGGATTCTAATAAAACTTCATTGTGAAATGTTTGTGTAATGWTTTCAGAACTGAAGTGTTTAATCAATACTGTTAATTATACCACGATCTAAGATTTTTCTGTAATGAATAATCAATCGAGGTTCATAAATAGTATGATGCTATACTAGAAGTATTATATGCTATTTGACTATTTGTCTGTGTCGGTATCTTTGMATTGCTGATCTGACGTGATAACATACAAAAATTGAATTGCATATTTTCTTTTATCAGTATATGAAAATATTAAAACTTACTCTTTCCTCTTGTTTCCTGGACCAAGGTTCTTTCTATTACTTCAAGTACTGCTTCTTTAGAATCTATCTGCCACTTTGTGCCATGGCGTTATAATAGAAATATCATATTAGAATTTATTTATTCAAAACTTGCCTCAAGTAGTAAATGTCCTTATAACAGGTATAACAGTGCTAACCGATTGTCCTGGAACGAGCAACAGCYCTGGTAGTATCACGTCACCTAATTACCCTTCAAACTATGAGAACCTTCAAAGCTGCTCTTGGCTGCTAAGATCACATATGGGGAAGATCTCGCTTTYGTTCGAAAGATTTAATACTGAGCGAGGCTATGACTATGTTCGGGTGTATGATGGTAGCTCAAGATCATCTTTYTCTATTGGTAACTTCAGTGGAAGCCTTCTTCCTGGCAATTCAAAAGTGAGCAGCTCGAATAGTCAGATGTTCATTACTTTTATCTCTGATGGGTCAGTAACTGATCGTGGATTTTCATTGAAATATAGTAATAATGGTAAATATTTACTATAATGGAATTGTTTTTATTAGTGTTTCTCTTACAGGCAATTCTTTAAATCAATATATTATTTGTGCATTTTATGCAGTAGCAACTACTACGAAGTTTACAGTACGGACAACTCAAGGTATAGATATTTAAAAGAGCTTTAATGATGCCAGCTGGAATAGTTTCATATTTTCTAATTCGTTTTTATCAAAACAAATCAAATCCTGCTTTGTACATTTCATATGCAGCACCAACTACGAGCTTCCCATTCAGTTCGTGGACAACAGTATGGCCAACGCAAGGCGGTAAAGATTTTCGTAATAGCTTTAATAGTACCAATTGGATTATTTTCATTTTTGCTAAATCTAATTTACTAAACCAATTCTTGAAATTACAATCTTTTTTGTACATTTCTTATAGCAAGAACTACGAGGTTCCCATTTACTTCGTGGAGAACAATATGGCCAACAAGAGGTAAAGATATTTGTAAGAGCTTTAATAGTACCGGTTGAACTATTTGTACTACTTCTAATCATATTTAATAAACCAATTCTTCTTAAAATTACAATGTTTTTTGTACATTTCTTACAGCAAGAACTACGAGGTTCCCATTTACTTCGTGGAGAACAATATGGCCAACAAGAGGTAAAGATAGTCGTAAGGGATTTAATGAGATCGGTTGAAATTTTCTATTCTTTTTTTCTTTTCTTTTTTTCCCGTTTTTTCTCGTTCTTGTTTGTTTGATTGTTTGTTTGTTTTTGCTCAGTTATATTTGCTAAGTCAATTCTTGAAATTAAATTAAAAGCATCTTTGTGCATTCCGTGCAGGCGCAAGAACTGCGACGTTTCCAYCCACTCCGTGGACAACATTATGGAGAACAAAAGGTATTGATGCCAGTAAAATATTACCAGCCAGAATTCTCAGATTTTTAGTTGTTTTATCAACATCAAGTGTCAAAGATTTATTGACGTCCGTATCTCATATCTCATGCAGCAACACGGTTATCCTTTTCCTACGGCGAATATGACAGACTTTCACTYAACAGRGACTTGCGTAATCACAAGGAATTATATTAAATCCGTGTGTGTATTATGATCATCATTATTCACATGTTGATATRAAGAAGGTTGTTCCATTTTTGACATCAATGATTTTTTTTTTGAATAAACATTGTTGTAAATTTCATGCAGCAACAAGTACAGAAGTTTCAAACTCTAGTCCTTGGACTACTGCTTCGACAAAAGGTATTATTGTGTACAAATATAAGTTAAGTTTTTATCATTTCTATTTTTCATTATATCGATCAAACAATTATAAAGTTAGTCTGTGCATTTCCCAAATTTTTCTTCAACTCAGGGAATGCTAATTTCACGGGTTAGGAACTGAGTTAGGAACAGAGTTTTTAACTGTCAAGGTTTAGTAAAAGACACGTTAGGTACCAAGTTAGGWAACGAGATGAATATAATGAAAATGCAATGAATGTAATGTATAGTAAAACTAGATTTATTCATAGTAATATTTGAGAATATCCTTAACGTGGCTTGACTTGGTTCAGCAATTACGACGACAACTGCGCTGACTCAACAAACATACATGTGTGACAGTTTAGAAAACATGGTAAGTTTTGGGGAATAATCAGCCTGACTGCTCTTTTGTTGGTGCTGAATATGGATGTTAGAGACAGAACCCGAGCAGATGAAGTAATCTGATTGGTTGATTTTTCTCCAGTCTCGATTCTTGGTTAGACCGCACGCGCTGCATGACTCCTGAAGTTTTTGCAAATTGTTACTTAACACGTAGAAACAAATACAATACAATTTCTAGYGGTAAAAATCAAGTAAAAAGACAAATTCAGACGATGATTCGGATGACCAGGAACTACTAAAAGTGGAATGTCTCGCTTCGGCACGCTATACCATCGAGTCCAATTTTCTTGGCGCGACACAGGGTTCCCGCGAGTACACGTTTCCTTCCGTTTATTAACCTTTTAAAGATCGGTTTATTTTTGAAGCACGGAAGTTGCTTTGGATAAATTRAGCAATTGTCGTTAATTCTGTATTTGAATTGCGCACCAGAGAAGATGTCGATGGTAGAACAAATTCTCTGGGCTTTAATGTTTTATTTTTTTTAAAASGTCTTTATATATTCATCCCCACGGAGCTTAAAATAAATATTTAGCTACATCGATATATACAACAAAGTCCGTTACACAAGCTAGTGAGCCATCTTGATTTTTGATATCAGCCTTAACATTCAGTCGATGCATCCCTGATCTCCATACTGGCCTAACTGTGAAGATAACTGCCTGGTTTCCAATCTGTTTAATACCAAACGGTGCAGACTTATCAGGAAAATAGTACTTGAATTCACAAATAAGAAGTCCAGATCGTAAGTATGGTGGATAATACGGAATGAGGTGAAGCAGGTCTTGGTTGACGGCCACACCGAGTGATAGTTTTACAGTGTAGTAACGCAGAGCTTGAGGAACGCAAAGTCGACCTGTGGCACAAGGTTGAAGGCAATATCTAAAGAAATTAGAGGCGTAGTCCTTTTAGATCGAATAAATGTAACATAATCATAAATGTAACGTCTATAAAAACGAGGGTTAAAAATTCATCTTGATTTTATTTAAATATAATAAGCCTTAACCGACCGACTGGTTACAAGGCTGAGTGATTCACAGAGCAATACTCATTTTTCTTCCGTCCCCAGCGTCATCCTGGAAGAAGGCTTTTTATTGTCTGGTAATAAGCACCGCCTCGCTTAGATGATCTACCTTTCAAGAAGGCGCTGAGAACTGTAAAATGTTTCATTGGCCGATTGATAGGGTGGCTTCTCCCATCATTGTATATCATCGGCAGTGCGCATGACTGATTGAATGCTCACCCTGGTCCCAGCACGTTGTAGTTGTCAGGACAATCCGTCTTTACACACCGATACGAGCCTTGGGTATTCATACATCTGTCATTTTGGTTACTGCATATTCCGGGATTCAGTGCGCATTCATCAATATCTGCAAGTATATAATTTGATAAAGTTTTTCAAATACATGCAGCGGTGTGTCAAAGGTCCATGGGCATCCGAGGACTTCTCTGATATCTTCTTCACTAAAACCTCGACAGACTTCGAAAGTAATTTCATCGTGTATGTATAGTTTACAACATGAGCAGCCGTGTTGTATGGGAATTACAATCTCGAGCCGCAGGCGAGAGATTGTAATTCCCATACAACACGGACGCRAATGCTGTAAACGACTTATAAAACTCCAACACAAATTAATATGAATTACAGTGAGATAAATAACGAAAAATGATACAATTAAAGGTAACTGCTGAGTTTAGTCGCTATTAAGCAATGCGCAATTTACTTCAACACAGAACATTTTGAATAATTATCCATCCCACATGGAAAAGCAAGCCATCTGTTTCATAAGAGAGTTCTGTTATCTGTCTTTGATTGCTTCTAAACCTAGTGAAGGTCAATGATGCGTACTAAAACTGAGACCTTTGCTAGTGTTGGGTTGTCTCTAGGTGACGACCGTATTGTAAATCTTATAAAACACTAGTGTTGTATCATAGTGTTGTATCAGATTTACAAGGTCAATCACCTGATTAAATGGACAGCCCAAATTGAAGTTATAGCCTATGAGCGGCTCATGCATTATCAATAAGTTTCATAATRTATTGTTATCAAAACTAGTTCATCTAGGTAAACCCCTTCAGTTGACTTCATTGCAAGGAAGTCCACAAATCTTAGAATGGCTGAAACACTAGCTAAGACATACAATCATCCCGTTAAACTATTGACCAAAATAGTTCGTATTGAGTCCTGGGTACATACCATTGCACSTTTTGCCGTCTACACTGAGTGAATAACCCGTTGGACATCTACATTTGTAACTTCCCATCGTATTGAAGCATTCAAACTGACAGTTATTGGTTTCATTGAAAAGGCATTCATTTTTATCTTAAAGATAAAAACAACAATATAGGAACTAAGCAATTGGAGGAAGGTGAAGGTGTAGGTGAAATGGGAGGGGGGGGGGGGGGGGGGGGGGGGGTAATGGGAAAACGTCTTATGTGACGATGTAATAGTCGATTTTCTAAATATGGAGGGTTAAAGAAAACACTTCCAACGGACCTTTGATCTAAAATGAAACTCCACATGCCTTATGTGATTTCCGCCGGTAAGCTATTAGCTGTCCAATTGGCCTTTTGCATGAAACGGTCACATGGCGCAAAATCCGCCATACTGGAAGACAAAATACCCACTGGGATTTTCAAAACAAAGAAAAGTCAAGCTTGCTGCGGGCTGTGTTCCTTTTGTTTTTGAGGTTGTTTACATTCTTTTGCCATCCAGTATGGCCGATTTTGTACCATGCGACCGTTTCATCAAAAACGCCCTATTTACACAAAGTGACCAAATAAGAGCTAGGCGAAGAAATCCATCTGAGTTGATTAAATCAGTGTTAGCACTGTTTGGTCAAGTCACACATTGCGACCTCTTTCAATAACTTACCTACACAGCCTTTCTTATCTTCGTGTAGTCGATATCCCTTAAAACAAGCACATCGATAGCCAGACCGGGTTAAGATACATCCCTGGCCACATTGAAGGTTTTGAAGAGCACAACCATCCACACCTAAACGAAGATAATTTTAAGGATCTCATCAAAACGGTACAACTTTCTCTATAAAAAGAGTCAATTTCACATCCTCATAAAGGAAAGCTATATCGAGCCGATTTTTCAGGGACCGACACAGGGTTMCCATCTGTACGCATGCTATCTGTTCGTTTATTAGTCCAAGTACTCAACACTGGAATCTATACCATAAATATAAGCCATACTGAAATATTTATTGAAACGACGAAATTACCCCTTCAAACATGCATTTTCAAAGTTACAATTATATTAGAAAAAATAATCACAACAACAACAAAATCACAGGAGAGCGAAATCAAATCACAGAAAGTGAACCAACTTTCACTATCCAATTGTAGGTGATATGGAATGGAAGGCGTAGTGCTTTAATGCTAACAACATTAGTCTAAGATAGAATATGGATAGCAACTATTTTACGAATTTGTGAAAGTGAATGTATGGTTGGCCGCGCGCTCGCCCCAGTTTAGTAACACCCTTTCCAAGATGTCGCCATTAACCTTGAATCGGTCTATTTATGTRTACCTGAACAGGACCGGCCGTCTGCTTTAAGATATCCACCAGGTGGACAAACACATTTGTAACTGCCTCTTGTATTGACACATTTATATTGGCATATACCGGGAAACTGTTGACACTCGTTTTGATCTGATGAATAAATATCGGGTCGTCAATATACGAAAAGTGGCAAACAAAATCAGTGGCAACGCATCAATATGAGGAACAAGAAGGAGAGAGGAGACTAGAAAAAAACAAGAGAAAAAAGTTAAATAAGAAGGGGAAGATGTGCAAACAATATCCACTATACTAGTTACTAGTGTAAATTATTACTAAATAGTCGGCTTAATTAGACGATAGCTAGAATATAATTACGAATTCCGTTTTCCTCTATTGTGCAATCTGTACAATTTCTAACAATTATTATTTTATGGATATAATTAATGCAGTAACATAAAAATGTTTAAACTATTTTCGTAGCTCTCAATTTCATACATCATTTGCAAATTACACCATAAGCCTAATAATGATAATAAGTTGAATTTAATTTTGACTAAAATATTTTCTTCAGATCCAAACGGTCATCAGTTTCAAATCCACGACTTACCTTCACAAGGCCCGTCGACTCTTTTAGTTTTATATCCACGAGGACACTCGCAATAAAAGCTACCAATAGTATTCATGCAAAGCTGGTTAAACTGACAAGTATGACTGCCATCTATGCACTCGTTATGATCTTCRCAGGTTCCCTGTAGTGTTCTCTGGTAACCTTTACGGCACGCTGCTCGACAGCTGTAAGAACCATCTGTGTTTGAGCACTGTAAAGGGCCACATATTGTATTGTTCTCTTGACATTCATCGATATCTGTAATATAAAAGGTCTATGTTGTACATAATGAACTATCATTTGTTGTCCAGGCAACATGCACGAATTGCAGACTGTCCCAAAGGCAAAAAAATATGGGCAGGATATTGACTAGAACCGCTTTACGTAAACTCGATGGAAATTGTCGAGGGTTGAACGAAAGCAGTATTCCAGGAGATGCTAGAGGAGGAATGGTCGTCTTCCTTATCTTAATATATCGTCTGCCCGATAATAAAATRCTAATGGAGAGACTCAAGCCTAAAATTTGCATCGATTCAGTCTATATATTCCCAATGGGCGCTTTAACAATAGACGAACTATTTTGGTTCAGTGGCCATACACAAAAGAATTGCAGACAAGGCCCCGGGGAAATAAAAGAATAAATCAAGATTATCCATTGTTTTCCCGGAGCCTCGTGTGCGTTCTTTTGTACATAGTCATAGAACCAAATTATCTAAAGTTGACTATTAGTTCTAAAATTTTGAAAATTGAATATGAGCATGGATTACGAATGGAAAACCGAGAATATCGCGTAACATCGTTTTACATAACAACGAGATGGCCACGCCTTAAGCTTAAAAGATTATTAAAACGTTCATCGCAGGATTCCCTCAAACAATGAGTTACCCATTTTTTAGCATCAAGGAATAATACATCACATCCTAAAAAAAGGGAGTCAATAACTGTTTATCGTCACACAGCTAGTATCATTTACTACTATCCCAGAAACCATTTCGGTCTCAGCTCAATTTATGAGCTTCCATTTGAATGTAMTTATTTGGCATTGTTACCTTCACACATTGTTTTCGTCTTCATCTTGTATCCCTCAAAACAGAGGCACTCGAAACCACCGATAGARTTTTTACAGCCGTGAAAACAAACCTCACCAACGCATTCATCAATATCTGAATAGTAAAGCAACAGATTGAGTTAGAAATTGATGGTGATAATTCAATAGAAAAAGATTTTTGATGCCGTTATATCTTTGTTTGGAGATASGAACGTAATATTCTCATRTTCAATTAAGATTTMCCACGAAYTGAACWCTCTATTAGATAGAATTCGTATCTCCGCGCTTTCATGTAATATCCTCTATATACGTATCTTTACCTTGACATATACCATCTCTCATTTCATAACCTTCTTTGCAAGAACATTTAAATGAGCCTATTGTGTTTGTACATGTTTGTGAACACGGGTCTTCTGTGACTGGTTTTCCAATAAAGGAAGCGCACTCATCGATATCTAGGAAGAACATTAAATATGATTTTGAATGAAAYGAAGGAGAAAAACAGCAAACATGGAAGGAACTTTTTGTCTATAGGCTTTTTATCGGGAAATGTGAACATATTGCACTGTATGCAGGTATAAAGATGTCCAAAACATATTATTGGTATTATGTTGTTATTGTTGTTGTTGTTGCTGTTGTCGTTGTTGTTTTAGTCCTTTACAGCTGCTCAATAAATCAAACAAATAAGGAAACAATCAACCAATCATTAACTTGATCAATAAATTAAACAATCAATAAAATATGAAATCAATAAAAAGACACATTCCGTCAAAAATGTCTCAGTGAAAAAGAGAGTTGAATGTGCCTGCCACAAACCTTCACAATTTCCATTCTCTGACCTTGAGTACCCATCATCGCAGTCTCGTCGACATTGGTAACTTCCTTCTTTATTGACACAGTAGTGATCAGGTGGACATTTGGTCGAAGGTARAGAACATTCGTCGATGTCTAAAAAATTAAACGTAAAAAAATCCATATTGTTTCATCAATACTTCAATTTCCAGTTCTTGTTTTGCTCTGTGTTACGTTCAGCCTCAAAACCAAGCAGCATATTCATTTGTCTTATTAATGGCCCGAGAAWACGCATGGAATTTGTGAAGAAAAACAATAAATGTGATTTTTCTCATGCACAGTTAGCCTCACAAATGGGGCTAATATAGAGCCTTGAAAAAATCGAAACTGGTGTATTGATCGTTTTCAGCCATTCCCATGAAATTCAAAAGATAAAAGACCGGTAGCCATGTTGGAGGAATGAACAATAGATACTAATGAGATATCCTTTGTTAAAGTTCCTCCAAGATGGGCGCTGTGACGTATAGTGAAAACGAAGAATTATGTTTTGGTCCATGTTATCATTAAAAGTTTCAAATAATAAGCATCAGATCATATAATTCACCTTTACAAGACTTGGTATCCTTTTGAAGAGCGAAGCCTTCTCGACAATGACACGTGAATGCACCAAAGCTATTTTTACATATGTGATGACACGTATCTCTGAATAAACACTCGTCCATATCTAATAATCGTAATAATATAAATTTTATATTGAAAAAGCAATAAAAGGGAACATAACTTACTGCATGCATCTGAAATAAACACTCATTTATTCATTGCGATGTTATGCTACTTTTTAAATGGTTTTAAGAAATTGCAAAATAATTATTTTCATATCAGAACATATTGCAGATCAAGAAGGAATGAGACGTCTAGCTACTGTGTTATGCTGGAAACATTCAAAACTGATATTCATATTTTTGATACCATATTCGATAGTCAAACTTTGCCCCTGGCACAACAAGGTTCTTCTTTTTTTTTRAAGAATACTATTAAGTATTGCATACGAGGTTTCATTTACTTAGGGAATGATTGAATTCTTTTAATTTTGAATGTATGTTTTCCAGTTGGTTGCTGATATGCATGAAGCTCGTTTTCTGGGCAAGGGGAAATACATAGTCGATTGTGCACGAAATGGTTATGGGCCATCTGYACATCCATAGTCGTTTTATTAAAATTGAAACATTCAATTTTTCATGAAATAGTGCTATATAAAGCGAGGGTCAGAAAACGCCAAAAACGAGGACAGATAGAAGCACAGAATRTAAAGAAATCTATGGCAGTTAGACGTTTCCTTCCCCTTCTGAGTTGGTTACTAGTTATCGTCAGGATGAAGTCATTACCTTCACAATATTCTCCCTTCAMATCTTTAACCAATCCCTGTGGACATTCCTCAGGAAATGGGCCTATTATCGCATAACATATAGAAATTACCAACAATATTCCTGGTAAGTGCTTTCTAATACCATRCGCAGTACATACTTCTCTTAACATATGTTTTCACAGCGTACTCTATTCCCCCAGGCCTCTCGTTTACGTCCACATCCATGACCTCCACGGTTTGGGAGAAGGAGTSGGGGACCTGGGCTGCAGGCTTGTACTTTACGGTGCTATTACATACATACTGAAAAGTCTTGCCATCTATGGTGAAATACCGCTGTCCAGTTGAGCTGATTTGTCCATTTCCCGTWATCACGAACATGTCTTTGAAATCTCTAAATGAAGGTTGTGCTTTTGAGGGAAACTTTGGCGTTCCTCCCTTCATTCTTACGTCCATGACTAATTCACCATTGTCGTTCACTCCCTGACCTGTATGGTCAATATAAAGCATTTCACCATTTGGATAAATGATGCGCGTTGAAAAATTGAAAAATCCAYGCGTTCTTTCGAGTCCGTTCTTAGCACCAGGCTGTCCACTGCTCCCGGCCCAATAGACAGGAGCAGTGACTGGAACTGCATACTTGAACCAGCTTCTGATAGGATCTGGTAGTCCATCTACTCTGCAGTTTAGCTCAGTAATGTTGGATTTTCGACGGGTAAAGTTGGCTTTAAATGTCACTTTAGGTAGCATGACGTCATTTATGTGACCAATAATTTCGCTAGTAGCAATTGGCCCTCTATCTAGTGAAGGATCGATATTTCATATAAATCGACGGGAAGGAGGAAAAAATCGACATTTTGTACTTACCAACCAAACAACTACGTTTGTTGCAAGACCGCATTTCCACGCTAGATCCAGGGCAATCGTCATCTACATGTTTCGGTGAGGGACTGGTGCAAGTACGCGTTCTGATCTTTCTACCAGTCCCACAGGTTACTAGACACGCTGACCACTCACTCCATTCAGACCACACCCTACGGTCTGTAAAAGTAAGTACAGCGCTAAAATAACACTTTGATGAAGAGKACAAGTTTCTTTTTTCATGCAAGGTTGCCTGGACTAAAAATTCTGCTTACCAATCATAAAGAGTGCTCTGGAATTGCAGTGACAAAGTATTCATTATAGGAAGTACAATGTGTACACTCGAATATAACAAATACCAACCTCTTACGGTCAAAGTAGCTTGTACTGCAACAACGAGCGGCTCACTCATAGCACGGCATTGATATGTATCCTGGTCTTGAGCTCTCAAATCAGTTATATATAAACTGTTGTTGGGGAAAATTGTAAGTCTATCTGGATTTCCAGACAGTAATATCACGCCATTCCTGGTCCATTGTATTTCTGGTKTTGGACGTCCTGTGGCTGCACAGTCCCAAAGGAGACTGGATCCAGCATCAAGTATTACATCGTATGGAATACTTGTGAACACTAGAGAATAAGCAGATTAAAAGAAAAATGAAGTAACTCACTATAGCTAGAAAATAGATAAATGAAATGGCAGATGTTTGAAATGAAATAAATGAAGACATAGAAAAGCAAAATAACAAGTGAAAAATGAAATCAAAGCAAATCAAAATAAAATGAAGGCAATCAAACTAAGACAATGCAAATCAAAAATGTTCAGGATAAAGCGAACCAGGCAAAAAGAAGATGAATATACAAAACTGACYAAAACAAGACGAAACTAACTAATAAAAAACGATATATACAACACAAAAGGAAAACAATCTGACATAGTCAAAACAAAATGAAACCAAAAATAGTGCACAACGCAAACTCATATCAAGCAGTGCTAAAGGTMTCTACCTGGCGGTGATCCTTGAGCGCTTGTGTCATCTGTTGGTCTTTCAGTTGGCGGTGCGCGAGCTACAATGAATAGACGACATTACATTATTATTGTCAAGAATTCAATCAAATTGAGATAACTCATTAACTTACAAAGAACTCGTATGATAGATCCCAGTTTAATCGTCCCCGCAAGATTTGTGGCCGTGCACGTGTAGTTTCCTTCATGYTTGCTCTTGACAGTACTTTTGATCTCCAGCACCGGAAGATTAAAGGGTAGAATCTTGCCGTTATGTGACCATTCAATCCTTGGTGGCGGAAAACCCCGAGTTACGCATTCTAGCGAGACATTTTTGCCTTCTAGAACGGTTTTATTTTGAGGGGCTTTGACAAAAGTTGGTGACTCTAAATGTGACGCAAAAAATTAGAAGACCAAAGTCACTACTATCTCAGAAAACATTTCATGAGCCAATCTTAATAAACGTTTTCCAGTCAGTGAAAATACCATTTTGTCAGTTATGTCTCTCATTTCCCCGCCATAATTCACCAATTGGTAAATTTCCATCGCTTTATTTATTTCCTGTTTTGTTTTATATGTTGAGGTGTTACATTCTGTGTCTTTATGGGATTTTACCTTTTTGGTTTCGTTGTAAAACACTATCATGAATTAAAGGCTTGTGGTCACCATGCCAACTCAGCCTGGGTTAATTCTCAAGCCCTACAATCACCTACCTTTGACCAGTACCGTAATATTAACAGTATCGAAGCCCYCCTGATTTATCGCTTTGCATGTGTATATTCCCATGTCTTTAGGAACCAAACTCATTACCCTCAGACTTCCAGAAGGATATTGGTGGTACTTTGAATTATCAATTATCAACAAGACGTTATTTTTTGACCAAGATATTGAAGGCTTTGGGTATCCTAGCRCTTTACAAGGTAATATGATACTTTTTCCAGGACCACCAGAGAATGTATCTATAYCTTCGTGTACTATCTTTGGAGAACCTGATAGAAAAAAGACTCAACTCGTAAGTATAGCAGATAAAGGATATAGCATAATTTTATAGATTCTGAACACTTTTGTTTATATAACTCAGTTCATGTCTCTTGACACACGATGCTTCCTCAGAATGTGTCCACTTTTCATTCTTGGCTGGAGCAGCCCTTGCATCATTCTATGGCCGACGCACTGCGTCTTTCCTTTTCCTTCCCAATGTTCTACGCCAGGTCGTCTAAGGACTGTCTATCTTCATTATTCCTTCAGTTGTCCATTGCTATGTTGGTGTAACCCTAACCATCTCTATCTTTCCGTACAATATGTCAGGTCACCTTCCATGTCCGCGTATTGTACCAGTGCTTCTTTACCGGAGTGAAACATGGAAAATGAGCACACTAATGTATCTAGCATATACATTAACCTTGAGCTGACTGTTCTTACAACCGATCAGTGGGAGTTTAGAAGTTAAAGAAAGAACAGACAAAAGAATACTTTGTGTTCTTGAGAAATAATGTTCTTTCTGCAAACCAAGTATTTGAACTGAAATAAGAGTGTATGTCATTTCCATATTCTTAAAAGACAATAGATTTCCAGTCATGAATGATGGTGAACAATTATGAGAACCGTTCTGTTGAATTAAAACAAACACTGCCAGCTTAGATATCATACCTCTTACGCTGACCATAGCATGCGCAGTGTCGCTCCCAGCGTCATTAGTTGCAATACATCGATAGATCCCACTGTCATACACACTGGCTTTACGTATGGTGAGACGTGATTGGTTGAAAGGAAGAGTGATGTTGTTCAGTTGCCAGCTGATCTTAGGACGAGGTAAACCACTACTTTGGCATTCCAGACTGATGACATCATTGATATCTACAATGATGTCACGTGGTGGCGTGGTAATAGACGCAGGGACTGAAAAATAATATTAGAACATATGAAGATGTGACATTGTATGAAATTTATGCATTACTTTGCCGGAGTACATGTTGTATTTAATTTAGAAATCGTATTATTTTACATAAAGAAACCGAGTCAGCACTCAAATGTGTAAGGTATTACAATAGCGTAACCGGAAAGTGCACAGACCAGATTGACACATTGACTGTAACTAAAACAGCGATGCTGCAACTCGTATAAAAAATGCTCAGAGGTACTATGGTCATAAATCAGTACTTAATGTTAATGTATCAGTACTACACTGAGTTGTAGTCTTACTTTGGCCTTGTGGAAGCAACAATGGAGATATATCTAGCCTTAGATTTGATGCAAACTTACCTTGTATAAACAAAGCATAAGTGTGACTGTCTGAGCCTGCTGTGTTTACAGCGGTACAGGTATAAAGTCCCGTATCCAGTTCACCTATTTTCTTTACCACCAACGATCCTGACAAATTGACCTTGAACTTGGAATCCTGTGTGTCAATGGGAAAGCCCTCAAAAGACCACGTGATTACTGGCTTGGGTATGCCTTGCGCGGGACAGGCAATCTCGAAGTCTTGTCCTAAGATCGCTGTTAATGTATCTTGAACATCCTTGGAGATGGTCGGAGGACCTTTGTTCAAAGTAAAAGTAAAAAGCGCGAAACAATAAAAATGTTAAATGATCAACAGAAAACAAAAGAATTAGGCATTGGAATAGTGGAAAAAGGACTCTATTTGTTGTTGTTTCCCACATCGTTAAATCAGCATTTTTCAGTATAGGCGGGGTGCAGGCACTCTGAATTAGAGGGCAATAGCAATTTCCTTACTTAGTCCAATCAACATTAGCACCGTGGAAACTTCAACGCGACCAAATTCGTTATCAGCAACACAGACAAACTTCCCCGCATCCTTCACTTTCACATCTCTTATATGGAGTGTTCCTCTAGAAGGGACACTGTAGCGAGGGTCTTTATGAATGGACTCTCCGAGGCTTTTGCTCCAGGTCACATTAGGTTGAGGTACACCATGTGTCAAGCAGTTAAAAGTAACATTCTCTCCAAGTCTCACAGCTTGGTTAACAGGTGGAGCTAGGATGCGTGGTGGAACTGAAAAAAAAATCAATCAATCAATCACTACATTGATAATCACTCGCTAAGTAAATTCCTTCTAAGTAATAGTCTATTTCAAACTCCCTTGCGCCATCTTGAGATTGATAACCAAAGAAGAAGCTTTGTTTTGCATTTACAAGCAATATATAATTCAGATGTATATCTAACATTGCAAAGTTCAGACGTCGTCTTAAATTGCTTGGATAACCTTTATGATCGAAGATAGAAAGGAAAGATAGCGTCCGCAATCAATCGAACTCTTAGTCATTGAATTTGTTAGGGTCAAATCATGAGTAGGTGGTATAATCAGCAAAACAATCAATCTGTCAAATCAGACGTGGCGGATGACACTCAACTCAACTTCTTCGAAAACCAATTCCTCCGTTGATAAATAAAATATTTTTGTTTTTGGCACGGCAATGAGTTACCTCCAACAATAACCTGAATGATTACAGATGTCGATCCCCCAGCACTCCGTGCAGTGCAAGTGTAATATCCAGCGTCACTTGCTAGAGCTTTACCAATCACCAGCTCTCCTGCGTCGTTTACGTAGACACGACCATCCGGTCGACCCAGTGCATTGTCCTTCTTGTTCCAAATAACGACAGGGGGAGGTATGCCGAAAGCTAGGCAATGTACTCTGGCATCACCGCCGGGTAGTACAAAGACCTCTTTTTTGTCAACTGTCACTTGAGGCGGTACTGTAAAGTGTAGCAGCATTTTTTGTAAGTAAAACTGAAAGTCCTATTCATTTGATACTTATTCTGAACCACGTTATGGGTATATTTACCATGCACGCTGAATGACACTCTAACGGAATCTGAGCCGGCAATGTTTAATGCAACACATGTGTAAAATCCCGTATCACTTCGTTGTGCGGCATTTATTACTAAGTGTCCCCTGCTGCTTGTTGCAATTCTCCTGGATGGAACGACTGCGAATCGCCCCTTGTACCACTGTATCGTGGGAGTTGGTTTTGCGTTTGCCCGGCACTCCAAAGTGATAGAGTCACCTTCCTTGACGATGACGTCATCTTGATCAACGTAAACCGTTGGTGGAACTTGAAAAATGAAATACATGCATGTGGAATCACACAAGATATCTTTATATCTGATAAAACACATCCTCATTATTTTTCTCTCTATAAAGAATACTAACGAGGATGGCATCTATAAGTCATAAAGGTCCATGTACATGACTAAATAGGTTAATAAAATTATCAATTATATACACCTACTTGCGAAAACGTTGTCATAGAAAATAGGACATTTGTATTTAGTAAAAAGGAATAAATTAAAAAAGACAAAAGAAGATCACTGAGGCTGAACGCTCTCTTTTGTCTTGTTTTAATTTATTCCTTTTTACTAAATTCAAATGTTCTATTTTCTATGACAACGTTTTTGCAAGTAGGTGTATGTATGAGTTTTGAATAAATGAAAATAATTTAAGTAAATTCAGCTATCGAATAAGAACCACTTTGGACTTGACTCCTTGAACATATTAAAAATTGCTGATGCCGTTTAAGGTGGGGTCTCCATTCAAAGCGAAAGAAGTGATTTACTCAAGATGAAAACATGGTTAATCAGAGCAACTTTATCAGCTGACATATAACGTTTCAATACTAACCGGTGTAGTTTAGATTGACAACTGCTTTACTCTGTCCAACAATATTGGCTGCGATACATTCGTATACACCAGCATCTGAAGGCTTAGCATTCTTAATGATGAGAATGTGATCTTTGGTAATCTTGATCCTATCATTTGAAGTAAACCGCTTGCCAAACTTCTTCCATGTCACTGTGGGCTCAGGAAATCCTCTGACCAGACATTCGCACTTGATTTCCTCACCAAGCTGGAAGTTCTTTGTAGTGGCATCAATAAATACAAACGGTACCTCTGTAAAATATGCAAAACGTATTAACCAAATAAACAATATATCTGTTACTACAACTTGTAGGTATAAAGCTTTTTACGCTTTAGAGTTTACATTAAAGGAAAATCTAGCTGTAACATCGAGTAGTAGTTTCTCTCACAAAATATGAATTATTTTGTGCTCATATTATCTACTGTCATTCAGTAATATCTGTTCTTAAAGACGTAGGCGCATTCATGTACTGCACGATGCTCTTGGCAACATATACTTTTCATTGAGTGCAAACAATATAAACATGTAACACGGCTTCTTACTAAATTGTTCAAAATTGTGCTAGTTGASCAAAAGAAAACATCACTAGCGTTAAATAGAAGACACTAGTACTACTAATGTTTTACGAATATATTTCTTGCGACTACATATAACAATAAACTATAATTAAAATTAACCCCATCAAACACACGTGCCATTGACGTTCAGTATGGTCGTTCTTGCAATTTGACCGACTTCACTCTTTGCTATACACCGGTATCTCCCTGCGTCTTGCCTTCCTCTAATGTCAAGAAACAAAGATCCATTGGCTCTCTGACGCGCATGCAATGCTCCTAAAATCTCCTGGCCATTTTTGTACCATGTAAAAGTGACAGGAAATTTAGTGTCAGCAGCACAGCGAAGAACGATGGTGTCTCCACCTTTTACAGTGAGTTGCACTTCATCTTTTTCGATAACAACTGGTCGTGGAACTATATATACACAAAACAAAACAGTGTTATAAGGTAGGATTTCCAGGTAAAATTTCCAGGCAGGACCGWTCTAGGATTCTGAACGCCTCTATAAAGTACAGAGTACTAAACAGTATAACACTACATTTATATATTTAAAGTTGCGATTAGTCTCGGACAGTAATGAAATAGCATGTTTCTAAGTGTATCTGTGGTATCAATTCAACTGAAAGCTCATGATGGTTACCCCTATAATCCCGGGGATACCTTGCTGCATACCTTTGACATTTAATCTTGTTGTAGCCTTGCCAACCCCTCCAATATTACTAGCGTAACACGTGTACATTCCTCGGTCATTCTCTCTCGCTGATGGTATGGTATAAGTGATGTTGTAGACACCGGAACGAGTCACCGAAGGGCTCACAGTTAGCGGGCCTTTCCGCCAGTAAGATTTACATGGAACAACACTATCTATTTTGCAGATGAGTGTGACTCGACCACCTAAGAGAATCTCACGAACTGTGTCTGCCTTTGCTTTGGGTGCCTCTACAATAAACATATATAAAAAAAACATGAGCTCCACACCTAACGAAACAACAAGGATAATATATGGAAATCAAAGTGTTTTCCTTGTTCTGAATTTAATATTAGGTGGAAACTATAGCTATAGGAAAACCCTACCCGGAAGTATTTCATAGAACGTTTTGCACAATAAAGTAATGGCCAGGCAATGTGCAGCAACTCCATTTTACACAACAAAGCATGATTGGAGTTATAGTCCTCGGAACTTTTATAGCAAAAAAAATGGCCCTAAAAGCTGTTTTCGTGGTTTTCTTTCTCAAGGTACAAGTATTTCCATTTTTGCAAAAGAAAAGGCAAAACCGGGTAAGGGGTACAGTCTTCGCGGCTTAGAAAAGCACAAGTTACWACAACTCCCATCATACTTTGTAAAATATTTCAGTGTTTGTCAAAGTGAAATGGCAGCTCCCGTTCTTATTTTATTGCAATTGTATGTGAATAGATAACACATATTTAACTCTTCGCTATGAGAGGTTGGAAATGGAATAATAGCGGAGCTCCCGCGCAGGCCGAAGGCCCGCGCGAGCGGAGCACCATAGCTAAGAAAAAATGGTATACCATCCAGTCGATTTTCCATGGACCGACACAGGGTTCCCGCGCGTACGCACATTTCCTTCCGTCCGTCCGTCCTGGATTCMGTGTACCACCACAGGAAACCCATACTCCGCTCGAAAAGGAAACAAAGCGCCAAGTATTTGTTGAAAAATCGAAATTTTTCCTTAAACATTTATATTACATATTGATAATATTAGAACAATTAATTATATGGAAAAAATCCACTGAAGAGCGAAATAACAGCACAGAAATATTCCCGCCAATTTTGTCATAACTTCGACGCGTCCGCACATCCGGGAAATCGATTTGCGAAGATGAAAAGCAATTTAGGCTCATCTTAAAAGTGATATTAGAAAAAATGATTTTATTTTGATATTTCGACAACAAGAAAGAGATGATACTTTATTGGAAATACTTCAATAATATGGACCAATATGGGAAAAAGCAGGGATCTATGCGAAGTTCTTTTGTCGACTAAAAGTGTTTACATTTCGAAACCAAGACCATGCTAGCAGTTAGATTGAGAGAGATTAAAAACAAAGAATTTACAAGTCTTGAATGACTTAATAAATTGATGAAACCTATGCTTGAAACAAGTATGGCTCTGTTGAAGATGAYCTTTGAACGATAATTTATCGGAAGTTCGATAATGAAGGTAAAAAATATATTTTTGTATACAGTTTTCTGTGATATGTGAAGTTCAAACATCGATTATTGAAAGAATGTTGATTATTGTAAGCTTATGTAGACTACTTTTTGCCGAGAAGCTTTCAGTTTACTTTTAATTATAATTTTAGACTTCATCCAACGGAACAAAATCTACCGAAGTCAATATAATAGTACGAACTAAATTCTCATAAACATACTCTTTATAATATTTGTTCGCATGTCAACAAAACTGTTGTAGCTCACATTCCTTAGAACAGAGCATCTACCTTTGAAATAGAAGTACTAGATAATCATTTTCAGCTTCTATATTGCTATTGGAGCTCCGCTATTAGGTGTTACCTAATTTTTATATTAGCTATTATACTGAGTAAGTTCAGGAAAGGGAAACATCATCTTGCTGAAATTGGAAAATTCATCTTAGACACTTTCTCTTTAATTGTTGATTATATAAAACCGCGGTCGAAAGATCTAACCTGGTAAAATGGCACTTATTGCTGTAGGACTACATCGCTGAAATACATTGCCCTTAATATCAGTACCAACAAGACGAATATAAAACAAGCCAGGCGGAGCCTGGAAATTAATCCAGTCAAACGTATATTGGTCGTCTGGTCGTGGATTAAAGGAAACCTCTTGGAAAACCTTTCCTTGTAAATCAACCAGTTGAGCTTTGCTAACAGACCCCGGCTCGACAAGACCATGAACTCTAATTACTCCAAAGTTACTGAATCCTGCAAAAAATCAAATAGGCATCAGAAGACTAGTAAGCAGCAGGAKCCCATTACTAGGAGACTTCCTCTGCTTCATAAGCTCTTAGAACGGCATTTACCCCTCTTGGTGCTATTTTTAGAATTGCTCATTTTAAATTCAGCGCAAAACAGCCAATCAAAAAGCCACTTGAACAATATGTTTCTGAATGACCGCGGCCGCCGGTCKACCGCCGGCAGTTCCGAGGAGGAACATCTATTAAAAGTTCATTTTAAGCATGTTTAAAGTTAACTTTTAGTAGAAATATGTCCCAAAAAGGAAAGCAGAATCACCTTTCGCTTCATATTTAGCCGATGAGGAAGCCAGTGATAGAAGACAGGTGTAATTAATCTTGGGAATACAGGGGAAAATCTTGAGAAAAAACAACCAACAATTATGAACTTTTCATTGAGCAGCCGAAGA